CAAATCAGAGCGCGGCGGAGTGCCCGGGCAGCCACCCCCAGAGGAGCGGCTGGTTGGCGTCCGCCGCACCCAGGAGTTGGGGATGTCCTACAAACCCATCGCTCCCGCCCCCAGCAGCACCCCCGGCTCCAGCACCCCTGGGCCGGGCACCCCAGTCCCTACAGGTGAGGATCCAGCACCACCCCTGCTCGCCTGCCCGGGCGGTCGAGGTCTCGAAGAGAAGACGGCCTGAGTTCTGCAATAGGCCTGCCGCCTACCCTCGCTGAGCCTCAGTTTGCTGGCCTGTGAAGTGGGCGTGGTCACGTAAGGGCTTGTAGGTGGGGCGCAGGGGGAGGGGTTTGGCCCTGAAGTCTGTCAGCATGGAAGGAAAGAAACATCCCTTTGGAAGGCATCAGGCAAACACGGTCGTGGGCTTGGAAAACTGGGAGGAGCTGTCCCTGCCCCGCGCTGACCTCTTACCCGCGCCTGTTGCAGCCGGAAGTGTCCCATCGCCCTCGGGCTCGGTGCCAGGAGCCGCTGCCCCTTTCAGGCCACTGTTTAACGACTTTGGACCGCCCTCTATGGGCTATGTGCAGGTGAGTGGGGCCAGGGACTTGCTTATGGATAGGGAATGGAGGCCCCTAGGGGCTTGAGCTCATCGTTCTGTTCTCCTTTCATATAGGCGATGAAGCCACCTGGGGCTCAGGGCTCCCAGAGCACCTACACAGACCTGCTGTCAGTCATAGAGGAAATGGGCAAAGAGATCCGTCCTACCTATGCCGGCAGCAAAAGTGCCATGGAGCGTCTGAAGAGAGGTAAGTGAGGCCAAGCCCACTCTGCTCTGCCCAGAACACTGACACTGGACAGTCCTCTTTCATTAGGGAAGGAAGGACATCTGGAGGCCACCTGAGCCAAGCCTAGACTAGAGCCAGTATTACTACCCAGAGAGGTGTTTTGAATTGAAATTGAGTCAATTTCTAGGGAAGAGCCTGGGAATTTGAGAATTAGCCAAACCTCTAATCTTTTCCAGCCCTTTGTAGAGTTTGAGTTTCTCTTTATGAAAGAGGGGAGGGAGGAGTCAGCTTGAGGGTGGTGGTGGGGGGTGGAGCTGTGGAGGGTCGCTGAGACCCTGTATGTTACTTCCCCATCCTCACTCCACCCCCACCCCAGGCATCATCCATGCCCGGGCCCTAGTCAGAGAGTGCCTGGCAGAGACAGAGCGGAATGCCCGCACATAACAGGAAGCACTTCGGCCTCAGCGTCTGGACCTTTCTCGGCCACTGCAGAGCACCTGCTTCTCCCTGGCCTTCAACCCCAGTTGCACTTCCCATCCTGGGCTTCCTATCCTGCCCCCCTTGGTGGGTGCCCTCCAGGAACTAGGGGGCAGCTCTCAACTCCAGTTGGCAGCACTAGCTGCCCTGCCCCCCCCCCATGCGAGTTAGCAGCGAGGTCACTGTGAGTCCCACCCATGACCTGCCAACAGTGTTGATCCAGCTGGAGCATTCACCTTTCTGCGGCCCCCACCAACCAAGCACTTACCCAGAACTTCTCACCACTTTGCCCCAGGCCACCTTCTTCTCCAACAGGGGCTCAGAAGGCCTGTCACCTCCCTGCCTTGTCTCCTGGGCCATAGCGACTCTTTTCTCAGTATGTCTTTTGCTAAATGTGCCCTTTTTATATAAATAAATAAAAGATGATTTGGAGTTGTTCTCTCAGCTCTGAGCCTTTCTGGGTCTGGTTCTTCTGTTAACCCTGGGTGGACCAGGCAGAAAGAGGGGAAGAGGAAACTCAGGGAGTGGGAAGTACGGTGCAGGGAGTGGGGAGGCCGTCTGAATCTGGCTTTGCCTCACCTCTGTTGCCCTTTGACCTTGGATGAGACCTTGCCCTCAGCTTTTCCAGCTGTGACAAGTGGAAAGGGCTCCGCTCTGCCCCAATAGATGAAAGCTCATATCCCTTCTTGTTGTGCCACCAGGGGGCAGCGCAGGGCCTTGGCTGCCTCCACAGCTGGAGGCACTGTCAGCCAACCTGGCCTCCAGGGCTCTTCCTCTGGATTGAAAGTGATGTGATGCCTGGCAGGGTGGAAATGCCAGTTCATTAAGCCACTCCCTCACATGCCTTCATGCCCTAACAGCACCCTAAACTCTGAATCGGCCTTGGAAGGCTCTGAACACACCCTGTCTGATTCTCAGAGATAAGGGGCATGGCTGCTTCACTCCCCCAACACCTGGGCAGCAGACTCCAGAGGAGAAGTCCAGTGCTATGCTGCCATCCACTGTCCCAGCACTTTCTAGTGGTCTGGGTGTGGTCCCACAAGCTCAGCCCTTGCTATCTCGGCCTTTGCCCAGGGTCTGGGTGGCTGGATGACCAGACTTGTGGACCCGGAAGGCATCTGTAGGGAATGCCTTGGGGCACCATTCAGGGGCTAGCCCAAGGATTGGGAGTGGCAACAGGCCTCTGGGTATGTGGCTGACTGAGCCTAGAGGCCTGGGGCCCTGGAACCCCAGCTGGAGGTGGAGACAAGTCAGAACCACAAACTTTGGTCTAGACTTGGCAGAGAGGGCCTGCTACCCCAGGTCCCAGGTTCCAGGGGCTGCTGAGGATAAAGCCTCAGGAGGACAGGCCTGGGACCCGGCCATGTCAAGCTCCACCCCTTCATTGCACATTGGAGGGCTGGGCCAGAGTGGAGAGAGGAACCAAGAGTCTTTGGGGACCCCGAACACGGAGTAAACTCCGCCGGCATTTGGGGAAAGGCCTCTTCCTCTGCTTCTATGGGGAAGGAAGGCAGGGGCCTGCCTTCCTCCACAGCGGGCGGGGCTGTCCCGACCCCGCAGGGGTGGGGACAGGCCCGCCGGGCCCAGGAAAGGGGCGGGGCGGTCGCAGTGACGCGGCTGGCGGCGGGGAGGGACAGCAGGGGCGCCGGCTGGCGGACCAGGAGGAAGGTCGTGGCCATGGGCCCGCGAGGCGCCTCCAAAGGGTCTGGCCACTGCTGGAACCCGAGGTCGGAGCTAGGGACGCTCTGGGCTCCGACCCATGGGCCGGCCACCCCCTCTCGCGCCGGGTGAGGGGTGCCTCCCCTAAGCTAGAGGTGAGCCGGGACGTCGGCGGGCCGGTCAAGAGCACGGAGGGAGACGGGGACGCCGAGAGGCAGAGGGAAGTGGGGACAGCGGGGCCTCTCCCGCCTGCTCATTGGTTGCAAGGTGGAGGGCGGTGGTAGGGTGCTTTCAGGGGAACCGCAGCGCCCTGCCGGGGTGCAGGTGGGCGGAGCGGGTCCTCCCGGCGGGGGCCTATGGGATACCGAGTAGCCCCTGTTGGCTCAGCCGGAGGAGGTGGTCGGTCAGTCCCCGGGAAGGATGACAGGGTGGCTGTATAAACGAGTAGAGGGGATCCGAGAGGAACGCTGGGGTAGACGTCGAGCACAAGTAGCCAGTCAGGGTGGGGAAGGCAGGTCTGGGGGCGCGGAGGAGCTGTGGTCCTGGGAGGTAGGTTCTGATGCGGGGGATGGGGAGGTGGGGGGACAGTGGCAGAGCAGCCGGGGCGCACGGGGCCGTTCTGCAGAGAGAGATCCTGGGAGACCAGGTTCTAGGTGGATGTCCAAGAGGAGAACCCCGGACCCCCGACTCGGGCGGTAAAGCGGGCGGCCACCCAAAGGGCCTGTCGTAGAAGTCGGGCATGAAAGGATGGGCCCCAGAGCTTATGGGGGCTCACCCTGGGATGGAGCTGTTTCGAGAGGGATTAGGACGCAGCCAGATCCACGGATGGAGACTAGGCTGGCCCTTCAGCCGGAGGGCGCGCGCCCGCCACTCCAGGGGGCCCCGCGTCAGCGCGCGGTTGCCTTGGCGACGGGGGGGCGGGGGCTGCGTGGAAAAGAGGTCAGTGCTCAGCCTAGCTGCGGCTCCAGGCCCCCGGCGGCGCTGGCGGCAACGCTGGGTTCGCCTCTGCCTTCCCAGTGGCGGCCGCGCCGTGCCCTGCGCCAGGCGGAGTGGAGGCCGTGCACGGCCCGCCGAGCGCCTTCAGGATGCTCATCAAGGAGTACCACATCCTGCTGCCCATGAGCCTGGAAGAGTACCAGGTAGCCCAGCTCTATATGATCCAGGTAAGGGCGGTAAGGACCTTACTTCATGGTGGGGTGATGGCGGGAGCGCGCAGGCCTCATCTGGACAAGGGGTTGAGCCCAGCTCACCCCTACCAGTCCTGCTCCAGGCTTGGAAGAGCTGGGGGCCACTGGAGGAGAGAGAGGCCACTCCCGGAAAATACGGGGTGGAGAAGGGTAGGGAGGGGATATAAAGACTGGAAAAGGGGCAGAAGGGCCAAGGGGTGCCTCTCACTCCCCTAAGTGCCCGGTCAGTGTTGAACACTCGGCCCATGCATGATTTCCTCTAATCCTTCTCAGAATCTGTAATCTCCTGGGGGAAGGGAAAGGAGGGAACAGAGTCTAGGAGGAGGCAAGAGTGAAAAGGGGGGAGGCAAGGTTGAGGGGCAAGGTGTCTGGAGAGGGTGCAGGTTCCTGACCACCCTAGGAGGTTAGGAAAATGGGATGAGGACCAGGCCCCAAGTCTGTGTGACAGAGATGGGACAGGCAGGGACCCAAGGAGGAGGGATCTAGGCTTGGGCTATGAATAGGGTGGGCCAGGGTAGGCTGTCAGACAAGTGAGAAGATGGTGCAGGACCTGGGAGGGTGAGAAGGTGGGGGTTCTGTGGTTTCTCTTGCCCAGAACTGTAGGATTAGAGTCCGAGGAGGCAAGGGGACCTGGATCCAGCCTCAGGCATTGAACAGGCCAAGTCTGGGCTCCAGAACTATGAAAGGGTAGGACCTGCGTACTCTCAAGCTACAAGGGATATGATAGGAGCTGAGATCTGGTTTCGAGAGAGAGGGGAAAGGGTTAGGTTCTCTGTGAGAAGGAGACCCCTCTTCCTCTCATCAGTTCAGGTCCCCTGACCTCCTTGCTGTTCATTGGGCATATCCAGCATGCTTCCCCCTGTGGGCTTGAACCGGCTTCCCCTCTGCCTTGAATGTGACTGCGCTCCTTCTTTCCCCTCCTTCAAGTCATGTTTGGGCCACGGTCGTGTTGTTTTCCTAAGGATGCCTTCCCTGACCACCATGTTAAAATTGCAGTCCCCAGCTTTTGATCTTACTTATGCTTCCTTGTTCCCATAGCACGTACCACCTCCTAACTTACTGTATCATTTGCTTTTTCTCTGTTGTCTGTCCTCCTCCACTAGAACCTAAGTTCCACAAGAGCAAGGGTCTTTGTTCTGTTCATCCATATGTCCCAATTACTATAAGCCCGAGCAGTGCCTGGAGGATGGAGCCACCACTTACTCAATGCTGGGATGACTGAACTGAGTGCTGGGGTGCAGAACCCCATGTCAGATGGGCAGCGCCTATGATCCTGATCTCAGGGCGTTTTGGGGGTCAGGGTCAGGTTGCAGGGAGTTGAAAAGGTCCTCTAGCTATCTAGGGGTCCAGGCCAAGCTGGGGATCCCAGCAGCCAAGCTGGGGCTGAGCTCCCCATTCTGTTCTGCTTTGGGCTGCAGAAAAAGAGCCGGGAAGAGTCTAGTGGTGAGGGCAGCGGTGTGGAGATCCTGGCCAACCGGCCATACACGGATGGGCCCGGAGGCAGCGGGCAGTACACACACAAGGTGTACCACGTGGGCTCCCACATCCCAGGCTGGTTCCGGGCACTGCTGCCCAAGGCTGCCCTACAGGTAGAGGAAGAATCCTGGAACGCTTATCCCTACACCCGAACCCGGTGAGTGGGTGGGGTGGGCCTGGGGCCATGAGGGGTACAGCACTGGTGGACCCAGTAGTGACCCTCACCCCTGCCCTCTGCCCAGGTACACCTGCCCCTTTGTGGAGAAATTCTCCATTGAAATAGAGACCTATTACCTGCCTGATGGAGGGCAGCAGCCGAACGTCTTCAATTTGAGTGGGGCTGAGAAGAGACAACGAATCCTGGGTGAGGCCCAGGAGCTGCTGGGGGAGCAGCTCAGCACCCTGGAGCCCCACTCAGGCCCCCTGCTGCCTCAGTAGGCAACCTTGGACAAGTCCCAGCTTCCCTCGGGCCTCAATTTCCTGTCCATGAAAGACTGCCCTCCCAACCCCTAGGGGACAGGGAGGGGGGCTTGAAGGGGTTGGCATTGTTCAATGCTTGCTGAAACCCCCTCAGATACCATCGACATCGTACGGGATGCAGTGGCTCCAGGCGAGTATAAAGCAGAAGAGGACCCCCGGCTATACCGCTCAGTCAAGACGGGCCGAGGGCCACTGGCTGATGACTGGGCACGGACGGCAGCCCAGAATGGGCCTCTCATGTGTGCCTATAAGCTGTGCAAGGTTGAGTTCCGCTACTGGGGCATGCAGGCCAAGATTGAGCAGTTCATCCATGATGTCGGTGAGCACTCAGCCGCAGGAGGTTCTGCTTACCCAGCATGCACCAGGCCCCATGTTTGCAGCCAGGGATGCTCCTTGTCTACTGAGGACACAGAAGCCTACAGCAGTCATTTCCATTTGAGGTGGGGCATACTGGGACTGGCATGGAGGGGCAGGACAGCCTAGCCAGAGGTCGGGGAGACTTGCCTTGAGATATAGGTGACAGTCAGGAGGGTAAGGAGCTGACAATGTGTCCTCTGAGGTCTGTGCCAGCTCTGACTTTCAGAGATGCTGCTTCCATAAAGATGCTAAGATTCTCCTTCATGTGTGAATTAAGCAAGACTCAGAGACTCCCAGGAGGATGACCAAACAGGCAATTTGCTCAGGAGTACAGGCTGAGAGGCTATGACTCTGAGGTCATCCCGCTCTCAGAGTCCCAGCCTCTGGCCCTGTAGTCCAGGAGCTTTTGTTTCATGCCTCCCCTAAACCTAACTCCAGTTTCTGTAGCTCAGCCCTGCCTCCCTCCTGGTCTGAGTGTGGACCTCCTTCATGCAGAAGGATGGTCCCTGAGAGACGGAATTCAGCAGCCTGGGTTCTGCTCCACTACTGACCCTCCATGGTACCTCTCACGAGCCAACGGCCATCTCTTGCACCTTAACTTCCTCTTCTGTAACTGAGGAAGTGAGGCCAGATATTAAGACCTAATATTGACTGAATGATCACAACATGCCAGGTCTTTTGCTAACCCCTTTTTGTGCAAGATCTCCTTGATTACCCAAAATAACCCGATAAGGACTATTCCCATTTTACAGATGAGGAAATTTAGCTTAGAGATGAATGCAGACTCCTTGTCTTGTATTTGAGAAAATATCACAAAGCATAAATAAGAAAATTTAAATCATCTACATATAACCATTACAAAGATTCTGATATATTTCCTTCCAGATTGTTGTAATTCAGTCATTATTACTTTATTTCCCAGATACTTAAATTTCTAACTATTCCTCTGCTTAAGATGAAAATATTCCAGAATGGGTATCATCTTTCACTACAGCCATCATTGAGTGCCAATGCTTCCATTAACTGTTAACACCTTAATTAACTGTTAACTCCTCAGAAGTCAGCAGGA